CTTTTTTTTATCCTTTCTCTCTCTCTCTCTCTGACTCTCTGCTTTTTCTTTTTTTCCTTTTTCTCTCTCTCTCTGACTCTTTTTTCCTTTCCTCTCTCTCTCTGACTTTTTTTCCTTTCCTCTCTCTCTCTGACTCTTTTTTTCCTTTCCTCTCTCTCTCTCTCTTTTTTTTTTCTCTCTCTCTTTTTCTCTCTCTCTCTCTTTTTTTTTTCCTCTCTCTCTCTCTGACTCTTTTTTTTTTCCTTTTTTTCCCTCTCTCTCTCTGACTTTTTTTTCCTTTCTCTCTCTCTCTCTTTTTTTTTTTCCTTTTTCCTTTTCTCTCTCTCTGACTTTTTTTTCCTTTTCTTTTTTTCTCTCTCTCTGACTTTTTCCTTTTCTCTCTTCCTTTTTCTTTCCTCTCTCTCTCTCTGACTTTTTTTTTCCTTTCTCTCTCTCTCTCTGACTTTTTTTTTCCTTCTCTCTCTCTCTTTTCTCTCTCTCTCTGACTTTTTTTCCTTCCTCTCTCTCTCTCTCTTTTTCAGCTTTTTTTCCTTTCCTCTCTCTCTCTCTGACTTTTTCCTTTCCTCTCTCTCTCTCTGACTTTTTTTTTTCCTTTCCTCTCTCTCTCTGACTTTTTCCTCTCTCTCTCTCTCTTTTTCCTTTCCTTTTTTCCTTTCTTTCTCTCTCTCTCTGACTTTTTTTCCTTTCCTCTCTCTCTCTCTGACTTTTTTTCCTTTTCTCTCTCTCTCTGACTTTTTTTCCTTTCCTCTCTCTCTCTGACTTTTTTTTTCCTTTCTCTTCCTTTCTCTCTCTCTCTGACTTTTTTCCTTTCCTCTCTCTCTCTCTGACTTTTTTCCTTTCCTCTCTCTCTCTTTCTCTTTTTTTCCTTTTTCCTCTCTCTCTCTCTGACTTTTTTTTCCTTTCCTCTCTCTCTCTCTCTCTGACTTTTTTTTCTCTCTCTCCTTTTTTCTCTCTCTCTCTCTGACTTTTTTCCTTTCCTCTCTCTCTCTCTGACTTTTTTCCTTTCCTCTCTCTCTCTCTGACTTTTTTCCTTTCCTCTCTCTCTCTCTGACTTTTTTCCTTTCTCTCTCTCTCTCTGACTTTTTTCCTTTCCACTCTCTCTCTGACTTTTTTCCTTTCCACTCTCTCTCTGACTTTTTTCCTTTCCACTCTCTCTCTCTGACTTTTTTCCTTTCCTCTCTCTCTGACTTTTTTCCTTTCCTCTCTCTCTGACTTTTTTCCTTTCCTCTCTCTCTGACTTTTTTCCTTTCCTCTCTCTCTGACTTTTTTTCCTTTCTCTCTCTCTGACTTTTTCCCTTTCCTTTTCTCTCTCCTCTCTCTCTTTTCTCTCTCTGACTTTTTTTCCTTTCTCTCTCTGACTTTTTTTCCTCTTTTTCCTTTCTCTCTCTCTGACTTTTTTCCTTTCCTCTCTCTCTGACTTTTTCCTTTCCTCTCTCTCTCTTTTTCCTTTTTTTCCTTTTCTCTCTCTGACTTTTTTCCTTTCTCTCTCTGACTTTTTTTTTTTTTCTCTCTCTCTCTGACTCTTTTTCCTTTCCTCTCTCTCTGACTTTTTTTTTCTCTCTCTCTCTCTGACTTTTTCCTTTCCTCTCTCTCTCTCTCTCTTTTTCCTTTCCTCTCTCTCTCTGACTTTTTTCCTTTTTCCTCTCTCTTCCTCTTTTTTTCCTTTCTCTCTCTTCCTCTTTTTTCCTTTCTCTTTCTCTCTCTTCCTGTCTCTCTTTTTTCTGCATTTCTTAGTTTTTCCTCATCTCTCCCTTGCCCTTTGTCGCCTTCCCTCTCTCTCCCTTTTTATTCCTCGTCTCTCTCTCATACTCTGTTACTCCTGTTCCCTCTTAGTTTTTTGACTCCCCTTTTCCCTCTCTCTCTTTACATCTCTCTCCAGCCTTTGTGTTCCCTCTCACTCCCTTTTCTTTTTTTCTGATTGTATTCTTTTTTTCTGATTGTATTATCCTCTTTTACTTTTTCTGTATTTATCAACTATCTTTTTCTCAAATCTACCCTTTTGTTTTTTTCTACTTCAAATTGTTTATCTCTTTCTCATCTTCTTTCTGTCTCTTCATTTTCTTTCTATCTTTCAATTAGTTTTTTGGTTCTCTTTGTTTCATTCTTTTCTCTCTCTCTCTCTCTCTCTCTCAAAAATCTTTCATTGACATTAAACTGGTCACTTCATTTTTATGATGTGAAATAGTCTTTCATGAATCTGTTGCCATAGCAACCACATGCTGTGAAAATCAACCCTGCTGATTTCCTGTGCTTATAGCTGACCCTTTTTCCAATTTCTCTTTCCTCCCAGCAACCTCCCATCTTTGTCATTGAATGATGAAGGGGATAACTGACATGCCCCACTCCACAACTCTTTATACACCAGTGATTGGATATTGAACTATTTCATTTCTCTTTATCCTTTATATCTCCCCTGTTTCCTATATTTATTCCTCAACACGTACACAGGCAAAGACATGCTTTGCTTTTCTCTGAAGAGGAAGCCTTAAAAATCAACATATTAAGACCTGTTTTTTGCATTTGGCAAAACAATTTGTTATGTAGTCCTAGGCAAAGATTTCTTTTATGTGCATGTTCTCTTCAAACCACTTACATAAAAAAAATCTACTTTTGTCATTACTATTAAGTGAAAATACATTTCATTTTTATCCTGAGTTGAGTTTTAGCATCAGTAAAGGTAGGTTTTTAAATACCATGTCCTTTCAGGATTTAGGCAATCAAGACTTTCCACAATTTCTTTCCTTTATTATCTGTGAATTGCAATGCATTCTTAGGGAAGATAGTGGAGTTGTTTTCCCATTGCCTTCTCCACAGTTTGGTATACAATTTTCTTCTTTTAGCCTTGTTGCCACCCAAATTTAGAGAATCCAGTCTACCCTGCTATTTAACCCATAGTTGATGGGAAAAAGAAGAGATAGATTCAAAACCTTTACCAAAGGTATAAGTTTAAAACTGAATGTAACAAACTAAATCAGAATTTGAACTTTGTTTGCTGGTTCTATTTTTTATCCTGATATCTGTTACACTATCCACATACAGGGTGCAATGAATAAATTGTCATCTAAATTATGCAAAGATGAAAATAACACTGACATCTCATTTTAACAGATATATTTACCAAAATTACACAAAAATATCTTGAAATACTAAAGAGTAAAATTTATTCAATAAAATTGCCATTGGCTTTAACCACTGCCTCCAGATGACTTTGGAATCTCCTGCAACTCTTCTGGATGGTCTCTTTTTTTAAGTTGGTGAATGCTGCAATAACCCTTGCCTTCATTTCATCTTTGGTGTTACAAGGAGTTTTGTTGGTCTATCACCCAACTGCACCCCGCACATAATAATCAAGGGGTTGCAGTCTGGGGAATTAGATGGCCAGATGTAAGAGTTGATGTGGTCATAAAAATTGTCTGAGAGCCATGACTGGGTTTTACTGCTTGTATGGCATGGTGCAGAGTCCTTTTACCAGATGTAGGGTCTTCCAGCAGCCACCTTCCTGGCCCAGAGCAGCACTACCTCATTTGGCGCAAATACCAAGCAGTAAAGCAAGTTGCTTTCAAATTTCTGGCAGAGTGAATTGCCATAGTGCTCTTTTTCTCACAGACTGTGCTCAGCTGACCCTAATATACTGTGCAGTCAACAAAATAAAAAACAAAGCATATGCGCTAAATTAAAAATATAAAATTATGACAATTTACCCATCACACCATGTAGAAATATTTCTACAAATTAAAAAGGCAGTGAATATTTTATTTAGAGAAGTTTTTTCATCAATGAAAAATATTGAACATGTTTAATTCTTTTTTAAATTTGCCATTTTGTTTAAATAAATTTTTCTTAATTGTCTAATTATGAAATTTCATGAACAAATAACATAGCTGATCTCAAGCCTGACTTACATACATAAGATTCTGTTTTTGTATAAGATTATTACTGATCTATTTTTCAATACTTATCTTTTACATAGAAACATTAAAAAAATATTATCACCTTTACTGACTAGCTTTCTTTTATATCATAATTTATAGGTATTTTTTATCTCTTAAAACTTTTTTGTTTATTTACATTTGGACAAATGTCCTTATCTTTACTTTCATCACTTTTCTATCATTGTGCTTTATTGCTTTCTTCAGGAGTCTATTGATTTAAGTAATTTTCAGAGAACTGAACCTTTTACTTAATCTACAGGGATAGATTGTTCTTATTTCATTGTCCACTGTCTAGGGATATTTCATCTTGTTTGATTTAGTGCTGTTCAGTTACTGCTCACCCTGTTTCAATTGAAACTAAATCTATACTACCCAACCAAAGGACTGAACTCAAAATTCATGAACCAATTTTTTGTTTATAACTTTGAGAAGTGTCATTAATATTGCAAGCTTTGCTCTCAGTTCAGCTGAAAAAAATATAGAATAAATCTGATAAAAATAGAATATTGTGGTTACAGTATCAATATTGCAAAGTTTAGTTATCTGAGCAAAAGCCTGAAATGTTCTGCTTTGTAATAAAAAAAAAATTTTAAAAATATGATAGTTGCTTAAAAAGAAAAATGTTAGGATACTCTCTTTCAGTGATTGATAGAACTCAACATTTTTGTCTTGTGTTCATATCCTGTCATCACATGGGACAAATTTGAAACCACTAAAAGTCAACTACTTCTCTCTCTCTTTTTATCTGAATACAATGCTTGTTAATTATGGTCACAGTGTGAAAGAATTAAATCATTAAATGGGTAACAGTCAAAAGGAAAATGATATGAATTGGATAAAGTGGGGTGGGCATTCATTTGAATGCAACAAAGGAGTTGGACAGTGCTATATCATCTGTAACTTGTTGTTTATGAACTTTCATGCTATGAAATCATGTTGAGAATACAGTTTCTTTTTCTTTTCCTTTTCTCTTTTGAAAGATATACTTGTTTCAGTGAATAATGAATATGATGTAGATTTTTACATTTAATTGAAGGAAAATGCTTATTAGAATGAAGGTATAAAAATACAAGTAAAATTATCATCTACATTACTATAAAAATCACCATCAGCATTGCACCACTGTCCTTTTCTCTATTGATATAACTCATACTTATCATTAAGTTAATTATTTAGAATAGCACCATTATTGTACTATCAATAATACAATTAGTGATAGTTGTCTAATAATTAGTAAGCTTATAGATTAATTTATTAAATGTATCTTAAAGAAGACACTTTTTCATGAGATCTTATAGGCTTATCACAAATGAAGAGTTATATCGAGTAACAAA